CTGCTGAATTTTTCTTTTTAGCATTTGCCACCTCTGTACAACATACACTTTACTTATTTATTGTCTTATTCTCTTTCACATGACCAGGGGTTGCATTTGTCTGTTTATTCCTGTATCCCTAGCACCTAGAGTGGTGCCCTGCATACGGCAGGTGTGTGATATATATATATTTTTTGAGTGGAGGTAAAAGTCCCCATTTATGGTATCCACCCACTTGTCACTGTACCTATAGCATCTCACCCAGAGCCACAAAGAAGTGGCTCAAAGTATAGATTAACAAAGAACAAAACAGAATAATCCCACCTGAAGGCCAGGATGTAATAAAAGCATCATACCTGTTTTTGGAAGAACACGGAGAACATCAACCTTAATATTAAAGACTAAACTTGAGAAGCAATTATTACATTTCAGTTAAAAATAACTCAATGCAAATAATTAACTTTGAAGAAATATGTGAATAATGATGGTATCTGCAAAAGAGGAAAAGAGTTTCTCAATTTCATTGTATCTTAGTTGTAAATAGTATTCTAGGCCACCATTTGGAACCTATTTGATGCATTTTAGTTCCATTTTATGTTCATAAGAGAGGGCAAAGACCTGTTTACATCCAACCTCTTATGCCAGCAGCCACGTATGACACACTCCAAAATGGCTAAACAGTCATTCCTCAGAACTGGTTCCAAGAACTCCAACAAAGATTAGAGCTCATGGTGTCAGATTGACCTGGATTTTCAGGCTCCTGGGTGGTTAAAAGTCGTAAGTAATGATGCTGTTCACTGATTTTCAAAATGCGGACCTCTCTGCTTCAGTATGCCTTTTTCTTTTGCCCATAGCACCAATTTCTCTCTTAGGTCCCCAGGGGATAGGGTTAGATGTGAGTTCATAGTGCTGGACTAGTAAGGGTAAGTAACTCTTAAAACTATCAAGCACTTTCTGAATCTGAGGAGTCACATATTAAAAGAGGCAGGACCATCTTCTGATTTCAAAAAACCAACTGTACATGACCACCCTGAAAGTGGTTTCAAAACAGGTGAAAGTTAGCTGTTCAAATTGGTAAAAGCCATTGCAGTCCCCTGCTAGGAATACTGATGGCACCAATGCACTGCAGCCTGGGCAGATGGAGACTCCATTTCCAAAAAAAGAAAGAAGAAAACCTCCTATATTCTACAAAGCAAGTGATAAAAATCAAAATATGACAATGGACTGAGAGGAAAGGGAAACTGGTAGTATTAAAGTTTTTAATGAACAAATAAGGCTAAGGCAAATTTTTAAGGACCCTAAATAGTAAATATTAGAAGGGATACTGCTGAAAAATTAAATATTTGAATAGTAAATGGTCTTCAGACTCTTGATTGTACAATATATAAAAGAATTTTGAAAACTTTAGGTATCCCTTTGAATATTTTTAACTTGATTTCTAAAAATTTTTGTCAAAAATAAATAAGTTGCTTTGTAAATAAAACATTAAATATGTTACACGATGAAATAAGATGAAGAGTGACTATAATTAGAGTAAGTATTTCATGACGTAAGTTTATTTCAATGAAAGTTCTAACCACTTTATTGTATAGTTTGCATCAAGTTTTTTGATTATATATTGAAACTTGATGCTCTGGAAAAATATGCCAGCTTCATTTGAAAGAACTAGTTCCTATCCTGTACTGCTTCAGTTATTCTGAATTTAGAACATTGCCACTCTGGCCAGTCCTCTCTCATAATAAAACATACATTACTCTGCATATTTTCAGTGATTAAAAAAAATACACCCAGCAGACAAAGAGGTAGTAGGCAAACCAAGAGCCAAGGTGAATGTGTTAATCATTAGCAGGTTATCACCAAGCCAATATTTGGAAGTACCCCTTTGTTGACAACCAGGAAGTGTTTATACTTTAGGCATTGTCCCAAAATAAAGCGCGATGCCGTTCTTTTCTAAAGTGGAAGGAGGGATATTGTGGACATAGGCACATTCTCAGGCAATTCTAGAAAATAAGCTGAAATTGAGAAAGACTTTGGAAAGTGTTTGCCTGCCTCCACCACCAAGAAGTCCATGGAGAAAGCAAAGTAAAAGGTCCCAAAATGAAAGTCGGCAGAAACTAGAAAGATGGGCAACAAGGTTCTACCATACTGAGAAATAGATGAGAGATTCTTAACAAAGAAAACACTACAAATTGAGGACAATCACTAAATAAAACAAAATTGAAGGAAACTCTAAGATCACTAACTGAAAAGCAAGGGAAAATGATTAACACCTTGGGTCATCTTGGTGAAAGAATTCCGCCGTAAAGAGAATCCTATAGCACCTAGTCTAAACGTACCTCTCCTATAAAAAATACTGGCCAACTATTTGGACAGTATCCTCTTATTGGACAGCAGAAGAGACTAGCAGGAAGTCAATATTGTTTTGAATAAGAAAAATTACAAAACAAAATTTCTGTTCCCAGATAAGTTAATATTACAATGTAGTAAGGCTCCACAGTGATCATATAGAGTACTAAGAAAGAAATTCTTAGCTATTCTGGTACTCAGAGGCTCATCCAAGTACTGTTACAAAAAATACTCCATTGAAATGTTTTGAGAAGAGAAAGGGTAAAGAATGGTCATGAAAAAACAAAAGAAAACAAACAAATCATTTCATTTCATTGTCCAGGGCTATGCTAAATGAGCAAGAAGTGTCCAGCACTCAAAATTAAGCAGGCAGTCACTCTCATGTGCCAGTTCTGTTCTTGCATGAGCCTGAGAAAGGATGCCTCCTTAAATATTTTTTGGGCACCTCACTTGCGTCACCTTAGTTTCAGCCTTCAAATTATGTTCAAATAATAGTGACAAGTATAATAACCAATAAAATGTAAATGCTATAATTCTTGTGTGGAAACTACTTAATGCAAAACTAATACATTAACTGCAAAAGGTCAGAGCAAAATTTCCAGAGAATAGTACTGAAACACTATTCAGTGAGGTTTAGGATGTGAGTGATAGGTGATAGGATGAGTGAGGTGATAGGATGCCTCAGTGTGTCTGTTTCCTTATTGTATATAAGGAGAGAGATATGGCTGGGCATGGAGGCTCATGTCTCTAATCTAGTATTTTGGGAGGCCAAGACAGGAGGATCCCTTGAAGCCAGGAGTTTGAGACCAGCGTGAGCAACATAGCAAGATGCCTGTATCTACAACAACAACAACAAAGCTGAGAGTCAACAGCTGCTTTTTTACTATCTATGTTATTAACTTGAGAAATAAAGCATTAAAAGAAGAATGAATTTTGTAACACAACACAGTAAAATGTAATCTGCCCACAAAAGTGGACTTAGAGGATAAATTTTCCTCTAAGCTTTAACCTGTTTCATAATTAAATAAAAATGAATGGATATAAATAAACTAAATATCTAAAACAAAATTTATATGAAGGAAAGCAAAGGGAAATAGAACATAAGCTTGAAAAAAGATAAGCTAATAGATTATTAAATAAAAAGACAAACAGGGCTGGGAGCAGTGGTTCATGCCTGTAATCTGAGCACTTTGGGAGGCCAAGGTGGGTGGATCACCTGAGGTTGGGAGTTCGAGACCAGCCTGGCTGAAATGATGAAACCTCATCTCTACTAAAAATAAAAAACTTGGCCAGGCATGGTGGCACACCCCTGAAATCCCAGCTACTCAGGAGTCTGAGGCAGGAGAATCGCTTGAATGCAGGAGGTGGAGGTTACAGTGAACCGAGATCACGCTACTGCACTCCAGCCTGAGCTACAGAGCAAGAATCCATCTCAAAAATAAATAAATAAATAAAAGACACACACACACACACACACACACACACACACACACACACACACACGCATTGTGTCAGAAGTACAAAGAAGCTAAAACTTCAGATATAGATAAAATGAATATGTTATAGAAAAGTCTGACAAAACAGTTGAATATTTTGCAAATACACGTTAAATAGTGTGTAAAATGGATGATCATCGAAGATAATATAAATGGTCAAAACTGATCAAAGAAAACATAAAACTCTTTTAAAAACCTATAACTGAAGGAAATTGAGAAAGTTATCGAAGAAATCTCCTCAAAATGGCTTTCAGCCTGCATGATTTTTACAAACCAATGCTTTCAAGCTTTTAAATAATAATAGCAATTATAAAAATTCCATTCTAGTCAATCTTTTCAGGGTAATGGGGAATAAAGAAAGTTTCCCTTTCTTGTTTTTGAAATCAATATGAGCCCCATACCCTGACATAAAAAAAATAACACAAAACATATGCATGCATACAGAGCCAATCTCATATATCAGTACATCAGCCAAAGTCCTAAACTAGTAGTGGATCAAATTATGCTGTACATCAAAAGAATATTCAATTAAAAGCTCAATATTAAGAAATACATTTATATAATTCATATTTAACAGTTAAAGAAAAAAAGTAGATCATCTTATCAGATAGATGACAATAAGCTATTTGAGAAAAGTGAATTAATTTTCGTAACCATTAATGTTAGAAACAATCCTTTAGGGATGGGGAGGGCAGATGAGCCCGAAATGTTTCATACAGTGTACAATTGCATCTATTCTGAAGCCATTAAGAATGTGAATGGTAGCTCTTTCTCAAACTATCAAATGGGGAGAGATACCCTGAAAGTATGACACAGGGAGGTTATCTGCCAGGAATCAATCAGAGAAGCTGCTGGAAAAACCCAGGCATGCTAAGCCATTGTTGTTCTTACCGCCCGGGGCAACTGATGCAATTGGAAGCAAATGATGCTTTTACATTAATGATTTCTATGAAGTCTGAGCTCATTTATTTTGCTGTTTGAGAACTTCCAGTTTGATCCAAAAGCTGACAGCATCGATTGCCTCACTGTCTTCCTTCCTGCTCTGATGCTGGAAGGTCTAACGAAAGAAGAGGAGGAAGATGACCAAGGAGAACATGAAAGCAGAGGACCAAGACCCCATCCCAACTGCTCCATTGGTCAAAACTAAGTCAAACATAGGAGAAGCTCTCAAATGGATGATACTTTGATTTTGCTTTTTGTTTTATTTTCTACATTAATAAAAGCATACAAATCATAAATGTACAATATTCACAAAGTAAACACACATCCAAGTCAAGAAAGAAAATATTTCTTGTACCTCAGCCACTCTTAAGTACCATCCATCCAACCATGACTCCCATCTCTGCCCAAGGGGAATCACTTACTGATTTTTAATGGGATAGATTGTTTGTAGCTGTTTTTAAAAACTATTTTATAAACCTTTAAAATAATGTGCTTTTTGTCTTCCTTCACTCAATATTGTGTTTATAAGACCCATTCATCTATCACCTATTGGGGTCTGTTAATTCTTATTGCTCTATAAATAGACCATCCTTTATTTATCCATTCTTCTATTAACAGACAACTTCCTGTTCAAGCTATTACAGATAGTGCTCCTATGAACATTGTCGTACATGTTTTATGGCTGTATATGAGTATTTCTAAATAAAATGTCTGAGTCATTGTAATTGTACATTTAACTTTAAGAGATACTGCTGAGCAGCTTTCCAAAGTTCACATTTGTAGAGTATGAAAGTTCCAGTTGCTTCGCACCCTTGGCAACATTTTCTGTTTTCCATCCTCTTTCATTTTATCTATTATGTTAAGTTTATAGTGGTATTTCATTGTAGATTTTTCATTTCTGTAATGACTAAAGAAGTTAACATCTTTTTATATGTTAAGGGGACACTTACATTTTCTCTTTTATGAAGTCCCTGTTCAAGTCATTGACCCATTTTTTAGTTGGGTTCTCTGCCCTCTACCCTTTTGTGGTCTTTTTTTCTCTTTTTTCTGTACATAATTTGACGACCTATTATACTATGTCTTTCTTTATTGTTCTTCTTCTTTTGGTTTTCTGCAAACCCACCTTCCTCTCTATGTTGTCAATACCATGAAGCCAAAATCAATGTGCTCATCTTAGTATCACTCTCAGGGCATGACACTCTGTTTTTCTGAAAACACCTACTCAAAAATACCTGTTGATTTGCATTAGAAGATTCTCTTCATCTGCTGAATTAGCCCAGGGTTTTTGTCCTAGAGGTTTTTAAATAGGATTTAAAATATGGTGGGAACTTCTTCTCTGGATATTTTGTGGCAAAACCAGAATCAGCTCTGTGTGTGTAGACAACCTAAAGTATATGTTTTAAGCGTTAGAAGCCAAATGAAAACCTGTTAGAGTTGATGTTGCCTCTCTGAGTATCTTGGGAAAGTAAGGAAAACATGAAGAAGTTCAAATGATCTTTTTCTTCCTTGAGAAGGAGCTTCTCTTGCATGTTATAGATTTCTATACCTTTTCTCATCTTTTTATATCTTCAGTATTTTTCTCCCCCATATAAGTTGTCATTTTACTTGAAAGTGCCTCTGTCATTTCCCTCCAATTTTCATTATATGTTCTAAACTATACTGTTATCCTTTCTGGAAATGTCTACATTGCCTTCCTTCACATTCATTCTTCTCACAATACAAGCTTTTCAATTCTGTTTTCTCTGTCTTTGATTTCTAAGTTAACCTCATTTATTTAACCTTTTCTTGGTCATTTTCTGATCCTTTATTTTTTGCAATTGGTCTAGGATAAATATCTGTTTAACCTGATGGAAATAATTCTAATCTAAATAATTATAAAATTGTCTATTTTATTTTAGCATGTAAGTTTTCATAGAATTTAACCACATAAATAAATAATCCATGTTTTACAGTGTATAAAAAAATAATAAAAATGTTAATTCTGGGGATAATAGCTTTACAATTCCGATCGGTACTGAGATCTGCAACATGTGGCTACAATTCCCATCAGATTTCTCTGTATCCAATAACCACCTCCCCTGCACCATGAAGATATTTATCAGTGATCATTTTCACGCAAAGTTTTATTCATTTAGTACTTTCCAATGAGGAAAATCCAAAGGCCACATGAATTGACTTTTCAAGTTTGTCCAGCTATTGTCAATCCTGGGTGCATGTTAGAAACCTCTGAAGAGTATCTAAAAATTAGTGGTATCTGGATTCTACCCCAGACCAATTCATTCAGAATCTCTAAAGTGGGTCCCAGGCATCAGAGTCTTATAAAGGCTCCCCAAGGAAGACTAACACACAGCCATAGTTGACAACTGCTGAGTCTGTGGTCAAGAATATGAACATAAAAATGTTAAAAAAGTTCATGCTCAATACTATATTTAAATTTGAAATAACTTTATGTCCTCAGAGGTGGGTGAGGTCCTCTCTTTGGCCCAGTCCTGAATTTCTGTTTGTCCCAACGTGAGATAAAAGACCAGGCCAAACATGTTGACTGCAGCAGACAGGAAAAAGACATTCCTCCAACCAGACTCAAAATCCTAGATGTAAAAAACACAGAATAATGATCAATCTCACAATTTTCTTCAACACTAGTTCTAGAAGTCCTCCAAGTTGTATATTGCAATGTTGATCACAAGAAATATAGAGAACAACGTGCAGTAGCTACTTAAGAAAGTTTATGAAACTATGGGAAACAAAATGACCAAAAGGCACATTGGGCTCTGAGTTGGAATGGTTATTTCGTTAAACTAAAATAAGCTATACTAACATTTTTCTGAAAATTTGGATTTCAACATATAATACTACTCATTTAAAATTATGCCTAAAATGGCATCATGTTTGTGTCTTCTCTGTTTTGTCTGAGTTTTGGCTGTTGATATCTGTCACTACAACCCATCTCAATTCAACATGAGTTCTATTTGGTCCCTGTGTGACCCTCCTCAGAAAGCCCTAGTGAGTCATTTCCAACATCATAGTCACAGTGGATTCCTAGCAGTTTAGTCAAATATTAACCTGGCAACTTGATCACATAGAAATGTATTAAAAACCAAGCTTCTCTCTGTAAGTTGGTTCTTGTCAGCCCTTCCATCCCCACCTGGGTCTGTCTTTTCATCTTCCTCGCGAGCCTGCATTTCCAAACACTGAGCAAGCCTCCTTGCAATGTCTCCCAGCCAATCTCTTTTCAGCCATTTAACTTATTTTTAAACTGGTCTCAGAATACTTTATGTTTTCCATTTTGTGATTTTTTAAAAATTGGAATTAGTCTTAACATTTTCTTCATGATCTTCTTCTTCTGCCCCTCTGTCTTCATCTCTTGCTATTCCTTGACATGCATAATTCATTCTGGTCATAACTAAGAAGAGCTTCATGCTCATGTACCTCTAGGAAGTCATACATGCTGTCTTCTACACTGGAACAGCTCATTTTAATCAATCTAACATCTATTCATTTTGAGAAAATTAGCTTATACTTTTCTTCCCCTGGGAAATATGACCTACCAATGTCCAATTTAGAGGCTCATGTAAATGGAATAATTGTGTTGCCATCCAGACCTTGAGAGCACAGTGCGTATCTCCAATACCTAGAACAATACATGCCACTTGAAGATGCTCAATAAACTGGTCCAAACCTGACTGATGAGGAATCCAGTGGCAGTGGAAGAGACAATTCCTGCAATGAGCCCAAATCCCCTTGAGATTCCCATGAGGAAACTTGCATATCTGTGGGAAGATGATTTTTATAAATGATTTTATATAGAAAGCCACCTACAGCTTTGCAGCAACTCAGCTTTAATGCAGTTCAGCTCTAATGGCAAAGCCATTTTGCTTAATGCAGTTTTTCATTCACCTAAAGACATTCAGGGCAATGTCTGTTTGCCAACCCTGAAATGATCAATCTGGAGTCAATAATTAGGGAGCAATGCAGTCTCTGGGAACCAAATTTCTTCACCCTGGCTGCTCAGTGTAGAAGGCAGTTTGTGCAATGGACAGGACACAGACTCCAAAGCCAAACACCCTGGGTCCAAACCCTGGCTCTGCCTTTATATAACCATAACCATCATCACACCTCCCTGTGCCTCAACCTTCTCCCTTATAAAATGGGAATAATAATAGGATCTATGTAATGTAACTGTGAGGATTAGATGTGTTGATATATGGCAAGTCTTTGGCACAGGAGCTGATTTATGGTGACTGTATATATATGTGGTAGCTAAGATGATTAACACCATGGAAACTTTTCCAAATCACGTGTGTGTGGGCCTTTTCCCAGCATACACAGTTCAATCTCTGTTAGGGAAGCTTGGGAAGCTTTTTACAGAAATGATTACTGGGCAAGATTGGAAATTGTTGTCCTAAAAATGCCACATTTGTTGTTCTAAAAATGGCCACAGACAGACTTTTGTAGTTATTTGTCATTCTGCCATTAGTGCATGTCAGTAATATCAAAGAGTTTCATGGTGACAACTGAGGTCTAACACCTCTGGAGGGGTCTGAAGGAGGGGAAAAACAGGTAGAGCTCTTACCTTGGAGCGATATCTAAGGTGTTGATGATAAACCCTGAGTCACATAGGTTACTGGTCCCAGGAATAAGTATCAGCAAAATAATGGTTATCACATAACTGGAGGCCACGAAGGGCAGGGCCACAGCACAAACTGATGGAAGGAGGAGTCCTGGGCAATGAGGATATGTTGTTAGGGAAACCTCTGAGACCATGTGCCAAAAAAGGATTGGTTAAATGAGCCCACACGCCTATCCTTACCTAGAGATGAAAAGAGCTTTCGCACGGTGATCAACCTGAGAAGATTCCTGGACAAAAGGAAATCTGCCAACTGACCTCCTAGAATTGTACAGCTTGCAGCAGCAATAAAAGGCAGGGAGGACAGAACTCCACTCTGAAGAAAGGAAAGTTATACAGGGTAGTTATGGAGACGTTAGCACCAAAATTTATTGGTCATACAGACCAGCCATTAACCTACCCCCATGGTATTCTGGGTTGTTTGGGGAGAAACTGGCATCCTTTTTCACACTATAAGGACACCGTTTCAGATAAGAGGGCCAGCAGCTGCATCACTCTGGGCTCCAGAGAAAAGCAATATTAATTTCTAAAAGAAGCTTTGGAATCAGCTGGTGTGGCAGTACAGCATAGTGGTTAAGAATACAGATGCTGCAGCAGCTCTACCCCATAGTATTGTCAACCCTGGGCAAGTTTTCTCACCTCAAAATGTGACGTTTCCACATCTGTGAAAAGGGAATCATAACAATGCCTCTCTCAAGGTCATTGTGAAGGTTAAATTAACGGTTATATGTAAAACCGGAATGTAATAGGTAACACAGAACTGTTTCTCCTTATTACCATTATCATTTTCATAGAAGTATAGGAAGTAAACTCACATCTCTGATGTTAACGTGGAGCAGAGTACTGATGTACGTTGGTAGGTATGTTAGGATGATGGTGCATAACCAGAAATGGCTGAAAAAACCCATGAAAATGGCCCAAAGTGGTAGGCATGTGACCATTGCCTTTATGGGGACAGCTCGTCTAGGAGAACTGGGCTGAAAAGAAATATCTAATCAACATGAATATTAGAACAGCCTAGATGGTGTCTCTCGGAGGAGATCCACATTCTGCCCTAGAGATCTCTGCATGGGCCACAGGTTCAAGGCATGCACTGTACCTGCTGAGGCAGTGAGGACATGATGTGCTCCTTTTCCCTAACACTTATGCACGGGTGCTGCATGGGGTCATCATAAATCACTGTGAACCATAGGAGACAGCATATACAGCCAGTGCTACCTGGGAAGAAGGGATAAAATTAGTTTTTAGGTAGATTTGTTTACTGGGGGAAGAGAGTGGCATGCCTCTCCCTTCTACACACTAATCAATTAATGCTTATTCTACCATAGGAGCTGAATGTTCCCATTCTTTCTTTCAATCCTGCAAACCTGTTAAAGCTTTTTAGATGCTACTTCTCAAAGACAAAGTCACCATTTGTCAATGTCAGAGCTTTTTGGAGATAACATGAATATGGCATTGCATAGCTGCTTAATCACTTTAAAGCCTCCAATGATTATAATGTTATGTATTTAAACAGCAACTTTTTTTTTTTTTTTCCCGAAATGGAGTTTCACACTTATTGCCCAGGCTGGAGTGCAATGGCACCATCTCAGCTCACTGCAACCTCCGCCTCCCGGGTTCAAGCAATTCTCCTGCCTCAGCCTCCCGGGTAACCGAGATTATAGGCGTGTGCCAGCATGCCCGGCTAATTTTATATTTTTAGTAGAGACAGGGTTTCTCCATGTTTGTCAGGCTGGCCTCGAACTCCTGACCTCAGGTGATCTGCCCGCCTCGACCTCCCAAAATCCCATGGCTGGGATTATAGGTATGAGGCACTGCGCCTGGCCAAAGCAGCAACTTCTTAATGCACACAAAGTTGTCTTGTTTTGGAAGACCTGAATAGTCAGGACTGCAGTCATACATACATGAAACAACCTTCCATGTAATCATGTGACAGGGAAAAGTGTCCAATGCACTTACAGAGACAGTGTTATTTGTATTCAAGCCATACATCCATTATGGATTCCCAAAACAAATATTTCTGTAAAATACCTGGTTAACATGTATAAACCAAAATAATTAGCATCATTAAAGAGAAAGCCATTCCAGCCAGGACTATATTTAATGACACCATTTGGCTCTAACAACGAAGTCAACTATAGAATATTGTCTCATTGCTGGAATTTGTTATTTAAAGAATATTCTATGTTTAAAGGTTCTGAGGACTAATTTTCTTTAAATTCCCCTAATTACTAGATTCATTGATTCTTTTACTTTAAAGCTAAAAATCAGGCATTGTGATGACACCCAAGTGATGAAAACATTATAGAATGGATTTCTTGCATCAAGCATTTCACAGTCCAGTAGAAAGAAAAGGAGAAAGAAATAATTTCACACCAACATAACCTAGAGAGGAAATACCAGTAAAGATTATACAGGAGAGAATGCCTGAATCTGATAGAGTAAGCCCTGGAAGGGCCCATGGGGACATTTGAATTGAGCTTTGCAAGATTCACTTGGTAAAGAACAGGTTAAAGGCATCTTGGGCAGAAATAATAATTATAATGAAATATGAAGACACACTGAAGAGGTACTTCACTATCTTTGGCATCTTAACTGCATATAGTGACTAGACCAGGCACTGCAGATGTGGTGGTAGAGATTCTGCAGAAGATGCTCGATATGGAAGGACAAGACTGCATCACAAGTCAGTGCCATGTGAATAGTCAACTCCTCCACCCTGTGCATGTGGCTTTCCAGAACTACCAGAAAGGTGTTAATCGAGTTGTGTGATTACATTAAAAATGATAGCAACTGTTGACATTTTTTATCATCTTCCATTTGATAAAGGACATTTTCTTTCCTATAGGAAGAATGTGGGTGATGTAGGTGCCAAAATGGATGCTCAGGAAACGGACGTGTTAGGATTTAAGAGACAGTGACTCACCAAAGATGTAGAAGATAAAAGGCCAGCCCAAGACCTGTGAGATTAGTCCCCCCACACAGAGGATGATGAAGGATCCAAATGCTGACCCTAAAGGGAAGACAGAGAAAAATACTTATAAAAATAGCAAAGGCTGAGACTTCATGGCCTCCCTAAACATTGTCCCAACAGTGAGGTGGCAGACTTAGAATTATTGGGCAATGAGAATATTTATTTTTCTTCCCACAGATTTTCCCCAATAAAGTAATATTATATAATTACAATTAATTAATAGTAACATGCCCCCTGATTCTTCAATGGCTCCTCAACACCAATGTGACCAAATCTAAATCCCTCAGTTTGACACAGCAACTCTCTGCTATCAGAACCCATTAATACTTTTTTGTGATTATAGTTGCATTCTTGCATGATCTAATATGAGGCTGGGGCAGGAAATTAAAGACTTATAAAAATCCATAAGATATATTCCCTGCCCTCAAGGAGCTTCTGGTCCAATTGGAGAGAAAAATGTGAATAAAATTGATTGCCACTAGTGAAATGCCATTTAGGCTTTGGAGTCTACATTAAAACACAAGAAATGTAATTGACAGAGACCCATAGTTAGAAATGCATTTTACAGAGTAAAATAACACACACACCAATATACATAAACACTTGTACATACAACCACATGCATATGCCTTAAACAATGGTTTCATGAATCAATATTTAACTTTACCATGTGCAATGCACTCCAACAATTTCTATACTATTCTATTCATTTTTTAAATTAATGATTTTAACCTGCTCAGTGGGTTTCATGACTCACTAATGGGTCCCAACCTGCAGTTTGAAAAAAAATATGTAAAATATAAATGTGATAATAAAATTACAATATGCGTGGAAGCATATCTGAGGATAAATTGATAATAATTATAAGATTTAGGAAGTTTTTACATGATCAAAGCAATAGGATAAGTGGAATTTTGGCACAAGGAACAGGGTCAAAGAATTTTCCAGGCATATCAACCAGTGGGAGCAGAGCCAGAGGGAAGTGCAGTGCAGATCTATGTGGGGAGCCGCCAGTGTCTGGGGCCACTAGGGCCATGGTTGCACAGGGGAGTCGAGTGGATCAATGTTGAGGCCAGATGGCTGAGCACTTTTGTGCCCATTCACTAAAGAGTGGGTCTTTACTCTGTAAACATGAAGGAACACATGGAAGATTCTCAAGCAGGTGAGTAAAAATGCCCCATCTTTATTTTAGAAAGATAACTTGGTTTTGGTGAGAAGAAGTTTGAAAGAAACCAAGCTGGAAGAGAGAGATCAGCAGATAGTATTTGCAAATAGAGGAGGTGGTGACAACTATGATGGAAGGAGGCAAGTAAGTAGAAGGGTTGTTTAAGGTAAAAGTCTGCTGGATGCCGCTGTGTAGTCGACCTAGGAACGAGAAGCTAGATGGAATCTTAGTTCTGCTCTTCTGAGTATATGCTCGCAGCACTACAGGCTGAGGAGAACAGCAATGATAAAGCTGTAGAGGCCTTAGGAGGATCACGTACTGTCGAGAGGCAGTCTAGCATAGTGATTGAGAGTGTCTGCTCTGGGGCTAAAATCCGCATGGGCTTAAATCTCAGACCTACCACCTGCTGGCGATTTGTATTTGGACAATTTACTTAATCTCCGCCTTCCTTAACTCCCCTTTCTGTAAAATAAGAGTTTAAAATGATACACTGGGCATGGTGGCTCACGTCGGTAATCCCAGAACTTTGGCAGGCTGAAACGGGTGGATCACCAGAGGTCAGGAGTTCAAGACCAGCCTGGCCAACATGGTGAAACCTCGTCTCTACTAAAAGTTCAAAAATTAGCTGGGTGTGATGGCGGGTGCCTGTAATCCCAGCTACTCAGGAGGATGAGGCAGGAGAATAGCTCGAATATGGGAAGCGAAAGTTGCAGTGAGCTGAGATGGTGCCACTGCACTCCAGCCTGGGCTACAACAGCAAGACTCCGTCTCAAAGAAAAAAAAAAAATTCTACTTACATGAGAGTGTTATTGGGAGAATTAGCTCCCAATAGAATAGTAAAGAGGTTAGAATAATGCAGACGCTTCAAACTATTCCAGCCTGATTTCTTTCCTTACCACTTTGAGCTGTGGTAGCCTTAATACTCCCTACAACATTGTTGCTAAGATGGTGTATGTATCGTTTACTTGATCTTTTTCCGTTTACGTAATTCTGAATGGTTTAAACTTTCTCCTACAAGGCTTTTCTGACTACTAAGGCTTTTCTGAGCTGAAACCTAGCTCACAATGGTTTTTTCTACTTCTAAGCCTCAATGTCTTTACTGTACAGATGCACCTTTCATATTTGTTATGCAACTGTCTCCTATTGTTGAATTTTTCAGTACTGTAGTGCTTTTTCTCCCTCTCCCCCAAACCATTTGGTTCATAGAAGATAAGACACAGTAGGATGGAACAGATTACAAAGCTGTGACCCACATGTGCACACTTACCTGATCCCGCAATGGTAGTGAGTTTGCTTCGTTCAAGTGGAGGAGCCCACTTTGCCCAAATTGTAAACTGACCTGTCCATGCCATTCCCTGAAATGAAAATCATTAAGACCTCTGATATTTTGTAGAATTCAGGAATCTGGATCCCACCCAGAAGGAGAAAGTATCTGGATACCTGGGCCATGCCCTGGACTGTCCGAACCACAATGACCAAAATCACTCCAAAGTCAGCAGCCAGTGGTGTGAAGAGGGTGAGAAGGGAAGAGATCAGCAAACCAGCACCAAGCATTTGTTTTGCTCCAAATATCCCTGCTAAATATCCACTTGGGATCAGAGTCAGTATTATCCCATAGTTGATGGAGCTAAAGATGATACCCTGAGTTTCTGGGCTCCATTGATACACAGTGGCCTGGGGATAAAGATAGGAAAACTTTTTGTCAAGAAGTCCTATTATGAAAATCCGCTTAACAGTCAGAGTAGCTTGAGGTTGGTGAGACCCTGCTATAAAATATCGATTTTAGTTTTTCTCTATATTCTACCTACCTTTCCAAACAATTATAGCAATTATACCCCTAATTTGTCTTAGGAAAACAGAACAAATGAAGAAAAGAGGTAAAGAAAATGATCATATAGATGATTAATACAAGTAAATGGAAGAAAACATTGAGAGATATTTCATCTGTGAGAGTGCTTCCTCCAACTGTTTTGCTTGTAGTAAACGTTGGGTAACAAGTTGACTCTCATATCAAAGAATTTTAAAAACACACACAAAACTTTACTGAACTCTTACCAAAATTAGTCCCTAATTAAAAATAAAAATCAAGTTTGGGAATTATGGTCTCCCTTGGCTGAACTGACTTCCTGAAACACATAAGTGAATAAAATCACATTCTTCTGATATAACTGAATAAATAATTGAATTATTTTAAAATAACTACCTTAAATGCCTAAATGATTATATAAATTATACCTAAATATTTACCTAAAAATAAATACATTTTAGGCATCATGCAATAACCCACCTAATTATCTGGCATCATGCTCTAGAGAGCCAAAGAATATAAAATATGAAATATTTTACCCACTTAAACAAACTATAAATAATACAAGGTATGTGATTCATCTGAGAATTAAGATTTCTAAGATTTGAGGATAAATATAAATAAAACAGGAACTTTGAGAGGAGAAAACAATAATTTGGGAAGGTCCCACAAAGGAAGCAATACTTCAGCTATCCCTTGAAAAATGACTATGATTTGCAGAAAGGCAAAAAGGAAAATTTTATCTCATCGGAATAAATAGCAAAAGTGAACTTGAAACATTTGGGAGAAACTAACAGGGTCTCTGGCTTGCTCAGAGCAAAACTTCCCCTGAGTCATTGATAGCAGGTGTGAGTGTGCTGAGAAATAGGACCAAGTTCTGGAGGAACACAGCAAGTTCAGCGAACACTGCATGTTTGGCAACTTGAAGGTGTGTCCCGAGTAGTGAATCTGCTCAGTGTGAATGTGTAGATGGGACAATGGAGGAAAGACTGAAGGCAATACATTTATGTACTCATGGTAAATAAGCTGGGTCCAATGTAATAAAATCATTAATCATGAGTTATAGGGATGACATTGGAAATGTACAGTAAAAGATAATTTAAAGGATAATTTTTTTTTTTTTTTTTGAGATGGGGTTTCGCTCTTGTTACCCAGGATGGAGTGCAATGGCGCGATCTCGGCTCACCACAACCTCCGCCTTCTGGGTTCAGGCAATTCTCCTGCCTCAGCCTCCTGAGTAGCTGGGATTACAGGCACGCGCCACCATGCCCAGCTAATTTTTTGTAGTTTTTAGTAGAGACGGGGTTTCACCATGTTGACCAGGATGGTCTCGATCTCTTGACCTCGTGATCCACCCGCCTCGGCCTCCCAAAGTGCTGGGATTACAGGCGTGAGCCACCGCGCCCGGCCTTAAAGGATAATTTTTTAAATTGGGTATAATCATGGTTCTCATATAAATGTAAAATAAGCATATGACAAAGATTTTATTTAACTCATTGACTAATGGAAGGATTAAGTAAGATGTTATAACTGGTTCAAAGGAAAATTCAAAGAACCGCACATAACACAAGCAGGTAGCAGTGCTGAAATAGATTTTAAATATACAGCAGGGCCTGGCATGGTGGCTCATGCCTGTTATCCCAATACTTTGAGAGGCTGAGGTGGGCAGATCACCTGAGGTCAGGAGTTCAAGACCAGCCTGGTGAGACCCTGTCTCTACTAAAAGTACAAAAATTAGCCGGCTGTGGTGGCCTGCACCTGTAGTCCCAGCTACTCCAGAGTCTGAGATAGGAAAATTGCTTGAACCCAGGAGGCAGAGGCTGCAGTGAGCCAAGATCACGCCAGTGTACTCTTGCCTGAATGACAAAGCAAGACCGTCTCAAAAAATAAATAAACAAACAGCAAAGTTGGCTGATTCAGCTGGACAGTGAGTAGCAAAAAGTCTTAACTGATTTTTCTCTTGGCAAAATTTATTAGCAAAGCTATGGACAAGAATCATTTGCATTTCTGTTTGTTATATAGAATTTACAGGGTTATAAAATTGCCCAAAAACAATAAAACAGGCAGAGACCTGAATAGAATTGAGTAACCTATAAGAATGTGCCTAGGTAATACCTAGCTTTTCATCGAAGATATCACATAATCTATTCCATTTTCAAATTTTTCACATTTTCCCCCTACAGGTCCCCCATCTTATAATACTCTCAATGAAATCTTATTTTTATTATAGAGGTAGCAATGTCTCAGAGAAAAATAATTCCAGTCAGTTTTAGTTTGTCATTGGAAATTTATACTTTTATACATCACAGAATCAATATCTATGCCTTCCTTTCAAACTGAGTTTTTCCTCTTAACAAAGAGCCCTGTTCTCCAACACACTTACCTTTGTATCAAATTCCTTGATGGATATGCTGGAGTTATTGAAGGCGTCTGCAAAAGGCCCCTCAGTGGAGGCATTAGATAGACTATGCTGCTGAGTGGAGTTCACCATGGCAATGATTGCAATGCTCAGACTCACACGCTGGGTTATCATGGTGAAGTTTGAGAAGTGCATGATAAGAGCCAGCCCATAGCGTAATGAACAGAAATCTGGACCTAGAGAACAACACAGAAGTATGCTATGAGCATCCTGACTGAAGCCCCTTCTTTTCATTTCTCCCACAGCTAGATCTGATAGAATTTTGGATGACATCATGAAGTCTCATTGTCTTATTTCACCAAAATAGCCAGTGCTGCAAACCCACTGTCAAATTATTTGGCTGGCTTCAAGACAGTGAATATGGGACATTATAATCAAGTAAAGCAAATACGGTCATCTTTCAGGTGGGTAGGAAGCAGGTGATGAGAACACCTAAATGTAACGCATTTATGTCATATTGCTCCAAAATGAAGTGAATGGGGATGACAGTGGCAGAGCCAATCACAAAACCCTCTTAGCATCAGTAAAATTATCTGGGCTGTAGGTCAGTAGTCCCATCTGTTATGCACATTTGTTTATCACAAAGCTTGAGAGTTTATACACAACGAGCTGCCTTTGAATTAAAATATTGCACATACAGGGATTATTTTTTAATATATATGAGAGATAGTACTGTAAGTGAGCACTTCCATTAATTCCTTAGTGTAATGTCTGCTTGGAAATGTTTTTGCTATGTGTCACTAAGCCCTGCCTTCACATATATTCAATTAAAAAAAAAATTAGGTAGGGTGCAGTGGCTCACGCCTGTAGTCCCAGCACTTTGGGAGGCTAAGGCCGGTGGATCACTTGAGGTCAGGGGTTCGAGGCTGGCCTGGCTAAAGTGGTGAAACCCCTTCTCTACTAAAAGTACACAAATTAGCCAGGAATGGTGGTATACACCTGTAATCCTAGCTACTAGGGAGGCTAAGGCAGGAGAATCACTTCAACCTGGGAGGCAGAGGTTGCAGCGAGCCAAGATCATGTCACTGCACTCCAGCCTGGGTGACAGAACAAGACTGTCTCAATAATAATAATAATAATAATAATAATAATATGTAAAACTATTTTTACAAAACTTGTAGGTGATGTGGTACTGGAAGATATTTAACATATTGCAAGGACAAAATTTTTCTTTAAAAGCATCTCCACAAAGTAGAACAACAATAGACAAATATTGAAAGGGTTTTCATGTGCATGATAGTTTGGATTTTTTCTGCTTATTTAAAGAATGAACACTAAAGGGAAGCAAAGAGAAAACCTGTGAAGACACAGATAAAATTAAGCTGGAAGAAATAATTTGTAATGGGCAAGCAAGCTCACAGATAAGATTGGTAGTCTGTAAAATAATTATTTCCATATTACTGGAGGTTTCCAAGCTCAGGAGAAAGAGCCAGCCACTTGGCAAGAATATTATGGTAGGGATTCATACATAGGTTGGTTTAAAATGACTTTCCAGGTGGGGCATGGTGGCTGGTGCCTGTAATCCCAACACTTTGGGAGGCCAAAGTGAGTGGATCACAAGGTCAGGAGATGAGACCATCCTGGCTAACACAGTGAAACTCTGTCTCTACTAAAAACAAACAAAAAATTAGCCGGGTGTGGTGGCACGTGCCTGTAGTCTCAGCTACTAGAGAGGCTGAAGCAGGAGAATCGCTTGAACCCAGGAGGCAGAGGTTGCAGTGAGCTGAGATCGAGCCACAGCACTGCAGCCTGGGCGACAGAGCGAGACTCTGTCTCAAAAACAAATAAAAAACTTTCCCCAAACTTATTCCATTCCTTAGATCCCAGGATTTATTATTTGGCTTAATTTCTAATAGATGACTTCGTGGGGCTCTCTAAGGAAAAAGCAACAGGTAACAGGATCAGGGGCTGGAACTGGCTCTGATGTTATACTGGGAGTATCTCTACAAAGAGGCAGTGTGATGCAGAGGTGTGTAAATGTGTCGGAATGAGCTTTGGCTTATTAACATAGCCCGCAAACAAGAGCAGTGGCTTTACCTCTCCTGGTGGCAGGCTTCCCGTCCATTTAGCTTCTCTGGGAAATGATACTACACTTTGTGGTGGAGTTTCCCTGTGCCCTGAATCTCTTTCACCACAACGGTCTTTTATCTATGGAAAGAGCATAATCCAAGACATGACACACAAATAATTCCCCCTTGTTAATGTTGCCTCCTTTTAGCATCAGTAAAAATTTTGACCCAATACAGCTCTGTAACTTACATTTTAGTACACTACTGCTATGCTTTTGGTTATAGGATTGTTAAAAGGAAATCTGGCTGTAAGTCCCAGCTGTGTGACTTAACAGCTATTCTAAATCCTCTAATCATTCATTTCCTCCTCTGTTCAATAAAGATAAGGCCCCTTCCTGAGTGGAGCTGGAAGAATTAAATAAAAAATTGCATGTACTTTATCAAACCACAGAGAAGCATGCAAAAGTGTGGAGCAGTATTGCTTGTAGCAGATCATAACACAGGACAGTTAAACTAAGCTCAAGAGCTAAGGAGGAAGGTTCCAGAGCAGTCTTTCCTTTCATTCTGATGGTGATTCTCTCCCCTCTGTGCCAGCAGAACAATGTTCCATGTGCCTTTGAACATGAAGGATGACATTGCATAATACTAATATGTATTACATTTAAAGGTTTAAAATGTTTTTTATCATGTTTGCTACACACAATGTGGACACTTGATTGGACTGACAAAGTCTTTATGTCACATAGAAAATGACAATGGACAAGGACTTCTTACTACAATTGTGAGTATATGCAGCTATTGTGACAGGCAAAGAGAATTCATAGCTCTAAATATTGACATGGTTAATTTAATATATGTACCCTAATCAAACTGTCTTTGGAGATACATACATTTGTTTCTTGTAGGAACAATCCATATCCTAGGAATATAATCAGTTTTGCATTCATGCCTAAATTGAAGCTTCTATGACTTTCTCTTTTTTAATTTTTAAAAAATCCTTCAAGACTTCCAAAGCATCTATGACTTTACAAACACATGTATCGGCCGGGTGCAGTGGCTCACACCTGTAATCCCAAAACTTTAGGAAACTGAGGCAGGTGGATCACTTGAGGTCAGGTGTTCAAGGCCAGCCTGGCCAACATGGTGAAACCCTGTCTCTACTAAAAATACAAAAATTATCCAGGCATGGTGGCACGTACCTGTAGTCCCAGCTACTCGGGAAGCTGAGGCAGGAGAGCTGCTTGACCCCAAGAGTCGGAGGTTGCAATGAGCCAAGATCATGCCACTGTACTCCAGCCTGGGTGACAGAGCAGGACTCTGTCTCAATAAACAAAGAAACAAAAAAACACATGTATCAAACCTGTATTTCATCTTGAAGGCTTTGCACTTCTTTTGCACACAAAATTTAAAAGACTTGTCCATACTTTTAAAGATATTCATAATCTGTGACCTTAGGATGAGGCGTTATAAGGAAAGATAGAGATGGAAAATTTTGTCCAAAAATATCCTTTGTAGTATTACTCATGACTGCATATTAGAGATAAATTAACCTAATATTGACAGTCTGGCAAGTCAATTTGATAGATTATTGTGATGGAAGCTACTTAAAAATGTTCTCAACAATATTGAATTACATTAGAAAAATGCTAGTACTTTAGTGTACAAAGCAGGACTTGTTGTGCACATGCACGTAAAGGAATAGAAACAGATTCCCACAAGTGACAGTGGTGACTATTTCTGGGTTACAAAACAGGAAGGTCACTTTATTCTTTGTGATTTTCTGTATTTATTTACCAAGTGATTTTAAAAACAATTAGTAGATACTCATTTTATCTTCAGAAGTAGCTAAATGTATTTAAAAGAACAATAATTGGGCTCCATCAGCATGGTAAGTATAGTTTTCTGCTTTCCAAATATCTCTATCTCTGAGAATAATGCCTCTCCGTCTAAAATTTTGAATTTTGGGTGTTTGAGTTTGTTTTTTGTTTTTGATTTTTTGTACAATGGATCCAAATGGGGGCCCAGTTGCTAGTAAGATCAGGTCAGCACCAGGAAAGATACTAGTTGTTGCTCTGCCTTAGAAGGCCTCCAAGACTTGCTAACATCTGGATATCAGGAGTTCAGCTCACTGCTCTACACTCAGATCCTAGCTGGAGCCATCTGTGGCCAAACTCAGAGTTTGGACCATTTTCTATTTGGTTTCATTTGTTACGCAAGATCCCATTGGCTTGCCTGAAGGCAAATTCTTTAACTGTACCTGTAGCTGCAAGTACTCACACTCCACCTAAAGCTTTCCCACCAACTTCTCCAATCTTACAAACACTGAAAGCCGAAAAACACTCAGAGATCCTCTGGCCCAGCTGTTTATTTTTTTTTAAAAAAAGGGTGCAGAAAATTTGGAAAGTTGCCTGAAACCATATGATTCACAGAGCCCACACCAGGTCCCCTAATGCCCAGACTGCTCCTTTTTCTACCTATTATTACAGCTTCCCCTTTATTTTCATAATATTTAAGCACAAGCTTAAAACACAATAGGGTAGCTCCCTTTTGAGGCATTATAAAGGAGAGTTTGTACATTTTAAATAAGTTTTAATCATTTATTCCAGAAGGAAATTTGATGATGAAAAATACTTTTAAGTTGAGCTTTGAATATTAAACATACACACACAAAAACTACTTTTTCTTGCTCTTTGTATTAGTGGAATTGTATCACAAACCCATCACTCCAGTTTTCCTTCCCATTCTTTGTTGCTGCCTAATGGAAAATGATGAAAAGCCCTACTTAGCTTTTATGGTTTCAAATGCTATATGATTTTGTCTCAATAGCTAATTTCAGTTCTTAATTTCCTATTTTCTTTTGCATGAGACAAATGCAGAAATCAGGCTAATATACCAAACCATTCTAATCTGAGGTCTTTCCTAGTAATGAGAAATATTTTTCCAAAATAAGCACAGAAGCTAATAAAATTATGCAGCCTAAACATTGGCATGGTTGATACGTACTTAGAGACAGTGGAATATTTATTAGACTAATTGCGAATAATTGAGAACATGTAACAATGTCAGAGCCTTTCCCTTTAAAAAAGCTACAGCTCTAGATAAAAAAATTGTGAATTCTAGTGCCAAAGTTGTAAGTAGATGCAGAAAAATGAATTGAAATTAAGTTAAAGGAAAATGTTATCTTTTTAAAAAATTACTTGACACAATACAGGTTGAATTTGAGATAAAATCAATAATGTAAATATTATGGTATATGCATAAGCAAAAAAAATAGCTTTTTTCCTTTTTTTGAGTCTAGAATTCATGATTTTATTATAATGGTTCTTAGATTGCTCTTAGATTCCCTAATATCCAGCCTGACTTGCATCATCTCTGTTAGCTGAGAGTCCTTGTTTACTCAGAGTACATGTTACGCCTAGATCAAAGAGCATGAACCTGCAGTTGATAGGTTGTTCAAGGACTAAATTCTGCTCTGCCATTCCTAAATTGAGTAAGCCAGGTGAAGTTTCGTAAACTCTAAGGGTTTTCACTGTTTCATAGAAAGAACTGGGATAATGCTACTTCCCTGGGCTGTTTGGAGTGAAAACAAAGGTATAAGACATGCCTCATAAATCCCAAAGTATTATGTGTTGTATAATATTCTAGATACTAGCAACAGTAATAATAATAAACAGTCACAATACTGGCAGTCTGGCCCTCTCAGATCCATTAGTACAGGCCTACAGCAAATGAAATATATTTCTATAAAAGTGCCTTCAATTGGTTGTTAAATTGGTTTTAAATGCTTCTTTTTAAAAGTGGATTCTTCTGGCCTGGAATCCACAAGATGAGCAGGGAGGGGTTCATCAGAAAACACAGGAAGAAGCAATACCTTCAGTATTAGACAAACGGAGGTGCTTCTCATCATCTGCCTACCTTTCTGAGAAATTAGTGGTTCTGAAATGAAATTGGTTGTTCCAGTGTAACATTTATGTCATGCTATCAATTAATTTATGAATTTAATCAGGAAAAAAGAAAAAGTGTACCAAGAACCAATGGTGGGCAATTCTAGAAGGCAGAGTTATGCCAAAACTAAGGTGCAGTTGAAGCCCTGCCTGTAAGGGGGGCTCCCGGCTCGTCAGGAGATACGCAAGAGTGCCTGCACCTTCCCTCCTGAGCTGTGTCTTCCAGGCCAAACTGAGTCTAACAGTGCTTTTAATCAAGTTTTTCCCTGGATAGGTTGAGAGATGGCACCATCACTTAGTCTTTTTCCCTCTGGCTTACCATCATAGCACAAACAGATGATGACCACAATGTCTCTGGGTACCTTTTCTTAGCTGTACAATGAGGGCAACAAGCTAGGCAACCTCTACAAGCATACAATTTTCTTGCCTTCAGTCTTATTCATAACTTTGGTCATGTTATCCTTTTCTTCTTCTTCTTCTTCTTATTATTATTAATTTTTTTGAGACAGAGTCTTATTCTGTTTCCCAAGCTGCAGTGCAGTGGCACGATCTTGACTACTGCAATCTCTGCCTCCTGGGTTCAAATGATTCTTCTGCCTCAGCCTCCTGAGTAGTTGGGACTGCACACGTGTGCCACTATACCAAGCTAATTTTTGTAGTTTTAGTGGAGACAGGTCTCTCCATGTTGCCCAGGCTGGTCTCAAACTCCTGACCTCAAGTGATCTGCCTGCCTTAGCCTCCCAAAGTGCTGTGATTACAGGCATGAGCCACTGCACCCGGTCATATTTTCCTTTTCCTAAGAGACTATTTCAAATTAGTATAGAAGTCTGAAAAGACTCATTAACCACAGCCCTGAACAGAAATCTTGTCAGTTCTGATCAGTTTTTCATTCCACAGCCAAACCCAGTCCAACTAACCACAGCATTACAGTTAATACTCACAGAGTCCGTGAAGAAATGACCATTGTCCATGGCGTCCATTGGTACCAGTGTTTTCTCAAGCCTTGCCCTAGGGTCTTGATTGAATCAGTTATCTTTTTTAGAAAGTCTCTTCATTTTGGAATTAGGAAATATTACCAGATGGTGATCCTTACGTTGCTGTTAATGTTTTTTCTCTGACTTCTCCTAAAACTGTTCCCTTCCCTTAATGTACCTCTGATAAGTTAGTAATTATCCTCCTACCCAAAAAGAAGAAAAGCACTTACCTTCAGCATTAAACCAGTATTTTAAGCCCTAGACTATAAGGCTAACTTGAAAAAGGAGGGAGCTTTCTGTTCCTTCTTCCCTTTCAAATACTTTTGCAGAGTTTCACAGGGATAAATAATAAGCCACGTGGCAGTCAGACAGCACCAGCTATGGCCCCACTTTCTCAGAAAGCCTAGGTTTGGTTTTGCCGCTTAATTTTTAACTTCATTTTCAAGTTCTCACTGATAGAGTATCTCAAAAGATGTCACCGTGTATATCAGGGGAAGGCTTCCTGGGTAGAACAGGGCTGTGCCAGTATTCATGTATGGCATGGATAAGTCAGTAATGTAGGAGAAGGACCTTCCAGGAAAAGCAAAACCGTTGATGCTTGGTGTGAGGAATTAGAAGTGTTCAACATGACTGGGGACTAAAGTACAAAGGTATAAAGGAAATTTGGTGAGCTGACTAAAAAGATAAATTGTTTAAATCAGTTTCTTTTCCCAGTAGAATTAACTAGCCAAGAATAGAAATAGAAGTTTTTTTTGTTTTGTTTTGTTTTTTTTTATGTTCCCTAAGAATGAAAGCTATACATTTTTTAGGAATTATATGAACAAGGAAAATGTGACTCAAAGACAGAAAAATAATAGAATTTTATTAAAGGGCATAAAACAAGATCTGGCTAAATTGAACTAAGTACTCTACTTTTCTCTACCATACCACATACTGTATTCTTGAATGGGAGAAGTGATACCATAAAAATATTGATTCTTCCTAAATTAATAAACACACTAAGTGAAAATCCAAGTGGAAGAAGGAAAAATGGAAGACAAACGAAATAGCCTAAATTTTCATCAATGGAAGACTGGGTACATTGTGATACATACATAGTCACTGCAGAAAAATAACAAGTAGTTAAAAGGAACAAGTCACATCTATCACATTTGACTTGGATGCTTGTATATAATGTAATACATTTTTAAATGAGTAAGGCAGATAGAAAGTACATATAAAGGGACTCCATGTTTTTCTGAATGTTTATCAAGATAATTCTATATATTTGCATCTTCATTTATATAGAAGTATATGAGCCAGACTAGTTGTTGTCTTGGGTTATCAGGTTTGGGTAAACAGTTTGGTGGTAAAAAATGTATAAGACTTGGCCGGGCACAGTGGCTCAACACCTGTAATCCCAGCACTTTGGGAGTCTGAGACAGGCAGATCACCTGAGGTCAGGAGTTTGAGTTCAGCCTGGCCAACATGGTGAAACCTCATTTCTATAAAAAGATACAAAAATTAGCTGTGCATGGTGGCACACACCTGTAGTACCAGCTACTCTGGAGACTGAGGCAGGAGAACCACTTGAACCAGGGAGACAGAGGTTACAGTGAGCTGAGATCGCACCACTGAAACCTAGCCTGGGCAATGAGACCAAAACTCTGTCTCAAAAAAAATAAATAAATAAAATATAAGACTTAGCTAAAAGGTGACCACAAAAAAAGCAGCATTTATAGACTATGGATGTAAAATTATATGTATGTGTATGTACACATGTGTGAATATACATAGATACATTTTTGTCTGTATGTGCATATGTATATACATACATGTATGTGTGTGTATGGGCACAGGATTTTTAGCTGAATCTGAGTTTTTTCCTTGGGTTTCTTTTGTATTGTTTAAAGTTTCATACGAATAGCATTTATTTACTGGATAATCATAAAAAGCAAAAACCTATTTTTATTTTAGGAAAACACAAAGCAACCAAACCAAAAATCTCAACTTAGGTAGTAAAGGGAAGTCTGGGGAAGAGGTCAGCAGGACCAGGTCATGAGGGCCTTTTACGTAATGTCCAGGAGCACGGACTTTATCTTGTGGTTCCTATTACTCCTCAAAACAAATGTGTGTGGACACAGAAATGGAAATGCACAGCAGTGCACTGGGGTCACAGGAAAAATACAAACATTTTTTTCTGAAGCACCAACTTCACTCAACACTTCAGGAAACATTTTAAAAATGGTTTTAAACAAATTTGACTAAATTTGACAAATTTAGTCAAAGGCAAAATTTTCATTTTTAAAAGGAAATGAATTTTATAAGGAAAAAGCAGATGTGAAAAAGAATACATGAAGTAGTACATGAAAGAATACACGTACATGGCATACACTGGAATCCATGTATCTGCCAGGCTTTCTTGTGTTGCACACCCAGACCAACCCTGTGGTTAAAGATAACCCAGTAGAAAAACTGAAGAGTGACTGGGGGTAATTAAAATGTTTTAAGCAGGAGTGGGGCATGATTTTCATTTTTAGACCATTTAGTTTGCTAGTTATGTCTGATAGTTAGAAGTCAGGACAGTCCTAAGTGAAAAGTGAGTGCTACTAAGAAACTCAATGTGAGAATCATAGAATTAAGCCAGACTTTTGTTCCCAAGCAGGAGACAGAGGCAGATAAGCAGTAATGAGGACGGAGTAAGGGCTGAACCACAGAAGCTTCATGTCATAGGTCATTGTATTTCTCTGAGTGAATATTATAGAACTTATTTACAACGTGGTCACAAAATACCACCGAAATGAAAAGAAGTCAACAAATTGAAATGGCTGAAGACTAAGATTCCCAAGACCTCAAGAAATAACCAAAAGTTGTCTCAGGTTCATGAAAAAGATAACCCAAGGGGGTTCTCCAAGTAAGTAAACACTCATTATTTCTGTAAGGCTTAGGTCACAAGACCTTAGCTGAGACCCCTGTCTCTGTGATCTGATCTGCACCACATTGGAAGGGCCATGACCGATTTCTACCTGGCTATTCAAGGCTAAACAGAGTTGAAGAACCTCTGGCCTGCTTTCCCATAGCCTTCAGTATCTTAGGCCCCAGATGGCAGGAAGAGTCTAAGAAGAATCAACCAAAGGTAAAGTACACCAATAAAAGAGCAGCTCTTTGGTTAGAATTTTAAGATAAAGAGAGACATACTACTGTGGAGAAGTAACAGAAGGAACAACATTTTATCCTATCAATAGATGGAACAACAGGACAACAGAGGACCACCTCAGCAATAACCTAGAATACCTGCAACTTCTACCTCCTGGGTTCAAGTGATTCTTCCATGACCTTCATGGAAGATAGGAATAATCAGCTGTATTTGTCCTGCTCAAGACTTGCCATATGCCAGGCATGGTGGCTTATACCTAGAATCCCAGAACTTTTAGGCCAAGACAGGAGAATCGCTTAGCACAGGAGTTTAAAACCAGCTTGTCTCTACAAAGTTTTTTCTTTTTTTTTTTTTTAAAGTAGGCAGGTGTGATGGTACACACCGGTGGTCCCAGCTATTCAGGATGCTGAGGTGGGAGAGTAGTTTGATTCTGAGAAGTCAAGGCTGCAGTGAGCTATGATTACTCCACTGCACTCCAACCTGGGTGATAGGAACTGCAGACAGTCTCTAGAAGCTGAATCAGCCTCTCTCAAGAAGAGTTCAAAACCAGCCTGGCCAAAGTCTGGCGCAAAGAACTGAATTTTTGAACAACCTGAGGGAGCTTGGAAGTGGATATTTCCACAATCAAGCCTTTGATGAGAATTCAGATTCAGCCAACACCTAGATTGCCACCACATGAGGCCTTGAAGCAGAGAACCCAGATAAGCCGTGTCAGAATTTCTATTCTACGGACCTTAGGTAATGATAAATGTGCATTATTTTAAGCCACTAAGTTTTTGCTAATTTGTTTTGTAACAATATATAACCAGTACACATAAATAATAGAATTCTAAAATTAGCCATTGACTTCAAACAGTGAGCCTATGAGTCTGTCTCTGGTCCCTGTCCTTAGAGAGACTACTTTTATCTTTTTATCCATCTAACATCTCTAATTTATGTAACATTCCAAGTCCTTATTAATCCTGTGTTATTGTTGCTGGAAGTCCATCTATTGCCTCAAGAACAGAGCATGAAATCCCTCTTTGAAAAATTTCCATTCATCATAATCTCAAATTTCTCCAGTGTAATTTTCCCACCTAAATTCCACATGTGACTTGAATCCCAAGACTATTCTTCTGCCCCAGGTATCTATTTGATGCCTGGATGTATCTGAATTCTTTTTTTTTTTTTTTTTTTTTTAACTTGAAATGGAGTCTTGCTCTGTCATCCAGGCTGGAGTGCAATGGTGCGATCTTGGCTCACTGCAACCTTTACCTTTCTGGCTTCAAGTGATTCTCCTGCCTCAGCCTCCCCAGTAGCTGGGACTACAGGCGCCCACCGCCTCGCCTGGCTAATGTTTTCTTTTTGGCCAGGATGGTTTTGAACTCTTGACCTCAAGTGATCCACCCGCCTCAGATTCCCAAAGTGCTGGTGTGAGCCGCCTCGCCTATGCTTAGACCTCATCCTACCCAGCTCACGTGGATAGGATCTTTTGATCCTTTAGCTGAGGTTGTAGTTTTAACGTATTGCTTCCTGAACCTATTCCAATGCAAAAGCTCTAAAAGAACTCAGCCTCCAAAATCCCTTGATTTGCTGCACTGTACCAAATGTTCATCTTAATGAAATATAAGATTTGTTTCAGGATCTCAAGCCCAATATTTTCAACAGCCAGCTTCCCAGTTTCCAAGGTTCACACAGAAGATTGGCAGCGGGCACATTCCAAGGTCAGCGGTTTTTATCCAGGAAGGAACCTCAGAATCACTTGGGGAATTTTAGCAACATACACAACAGTATTCTCAGGAGTGAGGCTTAGGTATGTGGATAGCAATAAAACTTCCCTTATCAAAAAGCTCCCCCAGCACGACAAATGGAGACTGCTTTTTAATTATAAAACTTGGCCTTACCTAGTGGTTCTCAATTTTGAATGAACATTGAAATCACAAGCGTAGCTGGTTTTTTTGTTTTGTTTTGTTGAGACGACGTCTCACTCTGTCACTCATGCTGGAGTGGAGTGGCACGATCTTGGCTCACTGCAGCCTCTGCCTCACAAGGGTAGTTTTAAACAGCACAGTGCCTAAACAAGACTCCAGAGATCATGACCCCTAATCCTAACCCTACCCTGTGGTACTTGCCTTATCCGTAAGGCAGGGCAATCGCTTGAGCCCGGGAAGTTGAGGCTGCAGTGAGCAATGATTGAGCCACAGCACCTCCAGCGTGGGCGACAGAGTAAGACGCTGTCTCTAAAAACAAAACAAAATAAAACCTTCTTATTTTAAAATAACTTCAAACGTTTAGAAAAATAAAAAAAACAGTACAAAGAACATTCATACACT